ACGCCGTCGACCGTCGTTGTCCTGGCGCTCTGGCACTTGAATGCCCCCCCGTCGTTGACATGGCTACTTCGGACTCGGCAGCAGCGCTGGCGGACAGAGCGCTGGCGGACCTCTGTGAGGAGGAGCAACCGCCAGCGCCCGCCGACGACCAATCTGGCAAGCCGCTAGGCGACCGCCTAGTGGCGACGGCGCCCGCGGTCCGCAAGGCCGCGTACCTGGAGCTGGCGGCGATTCTCGGCGGGGAGAGCGGGCCGCCGGACGCGGAGGCGGCGGCGGAGCACGCCGACCACATCCCGCGCCTGCTGGCGGACAGGGCGCCGATCTGCCACGAGGGGGCGCTCGATGCGACGATCGCATGGCTCGAGTATGTCTCGCCCGAGGCGGTGGTAGGGGTGGCGGGCGCGGTGGCCAAGGCGCTGATGGAGAAGCACGCGCCGGGCAAGTACCAGCCCAAGGCAATCGCCGCCCTCCTCTCCCTCCTCCGGCGCGGAGGCGCGGAGCCAGTGCAGTCGGCGCTCGAGGCGGGCGTCAGGAGCAAGGCGCCAAAGACGTGTGCGGCGGCGCTCAAGGCGTCGGCGGAGGCGCTGCTAGAGTGCGGCGCGGCCGCCTTCGACGCCGGCCCGGTGGTCAAGCAGCTGCCAACGCTGCTGCAGCACCGCGACAAGAGTGTGCGTGACGCGGCGGCGGCGCTAGTCGGCGCGGTAAGGCACTGGCTCGGCGACGGCGCGCTACCACCTTTCGTTCCCCTTGCCGTCGCCCTTGCGCGTATGCCCTTTGCCGCCCTCGCCGCCTCTCCCTCTCCTACTCACGGCCTCGGGTGCGGCCCTCCGCCCCCCGCTCGCGCCTCGCAGGCATCTTCAGCCAGCTCAAGGGCGTGCCCGAGGATCGACTCACCGCGTTGCGCGAGGCGCCGCTCCCGCCTACCAAGAAGCACCTCCTCCAGCGCCAGGGGTCGTCCGCTGCGGTGGTTGCTCCGCCGCCCATGGCGATGCCCCCCCTCGACCTGCTGGCCAAGCTGCCGAGGTCGAAGGGGAGCAAGGAGCCTGCCGACGCGTGGGAGACGCAGACCCTCTCCGACAAGTGGTCCGAGCGCAAGGCGCCGCGGCCAAACTCGCACCAGTGCAGACCACGTCCGACCACGCCCTCTGACCACACGCCCTCTGAAGCTCGCACCCGCTCCGCCCTACCGGTGATACACACCCTCTCTCACCCTCTCTCACCCTCTCTCACCCTCTCTCACCCTCCCTCGCCCTCTCGCACCCTCTCTCGCCCACCTGTTCGCTCCTTCCCCCCCTCTCCCCTCCCCCTCCCCTCCAGGCGGCGGCCGACCTCGTCGCGTCGCTGCTCGAGGGGCAGAGCTCGCTCAAGCCGGCCGGCCACGTGCTGGCGGGGGAGAGCGCCTCAGGCGGCTCTGGAGTGAGGAAGGGCTGGTGGGTTTTCTTTTTTAGGCCGACCACGCGCTGGTGCTGCGGCCGCTCAAGCGGCTCTACCAGGACGCCAACGTCAACGTCGCCGCCTCCGCCATTAAAGCTACCGGTGCGGCAGAGGGAGCGAGAGGAAGAGGACGAGAGAGAGGGGAGAGCGAGAGACAGAGAGACACAGAGAGACACAGAGACAGAGAGAGAGAGAGCCATTAAATCCACCGGCCCTCCGCACCGACAAGGGGCGCCCCTTCCCTCCAGTGTGTGTTGATGGGTTGCAAGGGCGACACTTGTAGGCTCGCTCGCCCGGGTGCTCGGGCCAGGCTTCCGCTCGCTCGCGCAACAGGCGGCTCGCGCACACACGCACACACACGCGCGCACACACGCGCGCACAAACACACACACACACACACACACGCACACACGCACACACACACACACACACACACACACACGCACACGCACACACGCACACACACACACACGCGCGTGCACACGCACAAAGACTACACCCCCCGCACATCGCGCCTTGCACTGGGGCATCGATGGGTCCCGCGGGGCGCCTCTGTCTTTGGACGTGGAGATGCATCGCCCCCGCCCCTGCCCCAGCACCACTCTGTGTGTGAGTCGTCAACTCACCTCTCGTCTCTCCCTGCAGGCCGCCCCGGCGCTCCTCAAGAGGGGCGCCGACAAGAAGGCGGTCGTGGCCGAGGCGGTGCGGGGCTGCCTCGCCGCACTCTCGACCGCCTCGTGCCTCACGCTGGCCGAGGCGGCCGAGCTCGCCCTCGCCGCCATGAGCAGGAGCACAAACACGCAGCTCCGCTCGACCGCCGCGCGGTGGCTCGCGGCCGCCGTCTCCGCCGCCGATGCCGAGGGCGTGGGGCGCGCCCTCGACGCCTTCGACGCGCCGCTGCAGCTGCTGGAAGAGGACGCGACGGCCGAGGTGCGCTCTCCACCGCCGCCGTGTATGCACCATCGCCGACCCCGCCC